ATAATGTAAAAGGGATGTGCGTCAGTGTCTTAGTTTCAAGACCTGTTCTATCCTGGAACAGAGCCAGTCCTTAAATCTCTGCCTAAAACATTTTTCTGTTAGAATCAGGAGAAGAGTTTTGTCACTGTTAAAAATCAGAGCATGTCCCTCAATTGAATTTTCATGGCTTGGGTTGATTCTCTGTACTTTCATATAGTAACTGCTCCAGGCAATCCTATTATTCTTCTGATTACTGAGCAGTCTTTGCTCTGATGCGATTAAAAGAAAAAGGGAATATATTCATATTCTTAAACCCCCCCAAAAAGATGGGTTATCCTGCTCAAACTGATCCCTAGTATTGTCAGTTTAAAATGTGTCCACGGTCCCCAAACGATTCTCCCACAACGTATCTGCTCCCAGTCCAGCACCAGACTGGATTACTGCATTGCAGACACAACCAAAGCTGTGCAGATAATTGATTTTTAGTTCAGTGCCAAACCTGAAAAGAAAAAAAGTTCATTTCAGGTCAAGGAAAGGTTTCATTGGACCTGAAACAAAACAGTCTGACAGGCCCAAATCTCCATTTTTCAGCAAAAATAGTTTCAGCTGAAAAATTTCACCCAGCCCTAGATACAACTACAGTAAAGATCAAGTGGAAAACTCAGCTATTGAAGAATGTAGATTCCCACATGGAGCACATTACAACTGTGCTTCACAGAAAGCACTGATCTGCAGTTCTGTGTGTTGGTTTAATCTATAAAGCCCTTTAATGGTTTGGGTTATGTGTTTCTTAGGGTACATCTACACTACAGGGGGGAGTCGATTTAAGATATGCAAATTCAGCTACGTGAATAGCGTAGCTGAATTCGACGTATTGCAGCCGACTTACCCCGCTGTGAGGACGGCGGCAAAATCGACTTCTGCGGCTTTCTGTCGGCGGCGCTTACTCCCACCTCCGCTGGTGGAGTAAGAGCGCCGATTTGGGGATCGATTGTCGCGTCCCGACGGGACGCGATAAATCGATCCCCAAGAGGTCAATTTCTACCCGCCGATTCAGGCGGGTAGTGTAGACCTAGCCTTAGAGACTGGGCTCTCTCCTGTTAAACCACGGCAGTTGAGATCAGCTGGGACACTCAGTCTCTCAGTTCCTAGATTGGTTAGGATCTGGGGGCAGGATGGTTCAGTGTGAAGAGTCCTTGACTCTGGAACTCGCTTCCCCACATTGGTCTGTCAGTGTCTGAATTTGTTGACCTCTCTATTTATGTAGACGTTTAGTGGAGGGTGAATGGGAAGGGAGGGCAGAGCTTGTGTTTGTAGGGGGGTGAGAAGCATTTAATGTTTTGTTAGTGTTGTTTCATCAGATTTATTGTGTGATGTGCTCTTTGCTGATTTCCCATGGGCGTAAAGTCTTGGGATAGGGAGAGTATAAAAATCAAACAAGCAAATATCTGCTTATTTTAATTACAAAAGGAAAGATTTTGTTCCCGTGCTTTAGTAGCAAGATAGGAACAAATACAGATCAGGGTAGTGAGACAGACTCCACCATCATCCACAAAACAGTAAGATACATTCTGACACATCCCTGGTGAGGCGAGAAGCAGAAAGAACTCAGCTAGCTTGTAAGGCCCCAGGATGAGTCTGTGGTGCCAGCACCTGAAACCGGCGAAGGGGGGAATCATTTCTGCAACCCTGTTAACACTCTGAATCCGGTTCCAGGAACATAACCCCACATTGTCAGATGGTTACAAAAAATAAAATGTCCCTTCAGTCTTTAAGACTCCCAGTTTCTCTCCAGAACTCACCATCATATGGACATCCAGTTCTTCTTGATCGTCTTTATATGTCAGTGTTTCTGGTTCAATCCCTTTAAAAGAGGCTGCTGCCTTGGTCAGTGCAGTTTGGAAGAGGGCAGGTTTGGGACTTCTATTTTAATGAGAACAACTTGGGACAGCTGTTGGGGGACAGGACCTCATTCCTTTCTCTTTGCCTAGCTTTCGAAAGATCCACTTGAATAACTGCTTCCCCCTTCCTCTGGAATATGTATACGTCATTTGGAGCTTTTTAGCAGATGAACACTTCACTTTTAGCTTTCATACTGGAATTCTTTCGTGTGTGGAAGAGACATTAAAGGAGACTTATAAAGTGCTGGCATTGCAGAGCATGGTACCAGGTGGCAGAGAATGGGATATGAAAAGTAAACATTGAATTTTTACACAGCATTAAACCTTTTTCTTAATAGCTGCTAGAGCAATAAATAAGAAAAACGACGTTTACAATATTCTATAAAATAAGGTAGTCTGGATGTATTCTGCACTGTTCTATTGCCCAAGTAACATGTTTATTCATGTTCTATTGCCCAAGTAACACTTTGTGATATATTAACATATGTCAGTTCCTACTAACAATCACAAGGAGTTCTTACTCTTCACTGTTTACTTGGCATCACTTAAAATACTTATGGGAGGAACTGGTAAACTAATGTGGGACCCCCTAGGTCGGCAGAAGTTGGGAAGGCTGTGGACACAGTGCAAGCAACTCCAGTGAGGAGAGCACCCCTTGTTACATATGAAATGCTGGTAACAGGCTCTGGAAGAAGCAACCTCCAGCTCCCTTCAGCCGGGGGGAGGATGGTCACAATTGAAGTGTCAAGGTGGGATGTGAGTAAAGAGGGGAGAATATAAGAGGGTCTCAGATGATCCTATCCACACAAAACAGCCTTGCTATTACTAAACATTATAATCGCGGAGTGGCAACCAGCATGGGGCCCCACTGGGATGGGTGCCATACAAACATGTAGTAAAATCCAGTCCCTGCCCCAAAGAGCTTACAGTCTAAAGAACAAGCCTTAGCAGGTGGGTGAGACAAACAAGTGGACTGGGTGGAGGCTCAAGAAGACAGGGTCCTAAAAGCTAACAGAATGCAGGCAGTTCTTAAGCAATCAGAGACTGTAACCACAACTCATCACCTGCCTAGCTTTTAATCAGCTTGCAATTTCCTACATGTATCGAGTAACAGGCAAGTTCTGAGAAAGGAATTGAAGGACCGAAAGGTCCGATTTTGACTGGGAGCTTTTTCCACTTGTAAGGGGCAGCGTGGGAAAAAGTGTTTCTTGGGGAAGCAGATTATCAAGGCTGATATCGCTGGCAGAGCTAGGGCAGGGGTCGACCTTGCAATACAAAACAAGCCTTACACATAGGACCAAGTTTTCAGACAACTGGCACTTACATTACACCTGTAAAAACTGTGCATACAAAAGGAGGGCTTTCATGGGAGCAATTCTGCCACCACTATTTGAAAATGTGGCCAGTACACTCTAACCCCATGAACACCAAAACGTGCAAAGCAGGTTGAATGTTAATTCAGCTACATTACACTGGCAAACAGAGCCCAATGTAATAGGAGAACAATGTGTGTTAATGAGAACAAGTGCTGCTCACTTAATTCTCCATGAATCCCATGCAACTTGCTCCCTGGTAACTGAAAAGTTGCCTGGAAAATCTGCACCAATGCCATTAGGTTCTTGTCTACATTGCAAAATTTTACCACATGTACCAGGATGTGAAGAATTGAGTTGCTGACACAGTGCTAACTGGTCAGAGCAGGCCAGGCAAATCACATCCAGCAACTAATCATGATTAAATCCTGCTGGGTTTTTTAACAGAGAATTTTTTTTGTCAGCAAAAATGTATTTCTGTTTTCCAACCAGTTTATTAACACACAATAAACTTAATTCACAATAAGTGATCAGTTTGAGAAGCCCTGACCTTTAAAACTTTATAGTGACTTTATCTGTACCTTCCTGCTGTGAAGCCAACACAACTGAAAGCTGCTGGGATAATACAGATGATGCACTTAATTAATGTAATTAACATGGTATGATCATGGCAAACAGATGCAATATGGGTTAAGATATCTGGAAACAAATACAATGGCTTCCCTGCTCCAAAAACAAACGAAGAATCTACATCGGGGTCAGCAACGTTCGGCACGCAGCTCACCAGGGTAAGCACCCTGGCGGGCCGGGCCAGTTTTATAGTAAAAAAAGTAAGTAATTAAAGTAATATTTTGTTATAGTAGTTGTATTATGCTGGCACCCACAGACACCAACTGGAATCAGGGTCCATTGCACTGGATGCTGTGCAAACACATAGGAACACACAGTCCCTGTCCCGTGATTGTGTTCAAAGGTTCACAAAATCCTCTGGGATTCCCCTATTTCTAGCCAGACCATGGTATAATTAAATAGCTGCACTATTGATGGCTAATCTATGGCTTTGAGCCACATGTTTCTCTGCACATGTCTCCCTTCGTGGGTTTGAGTCAGCCACTACATGAATTCTTTATGTTATCCTAATAAAAACTGCAACCTGAAATCAATACAAATCAGAGAGCCAAGGCACATACACAGTAGTAACTAGCATTCTCCAAACTGGTGACTGAATTTAATGCCAGATCCTTCTGCGAGCCCTAATACCAAGTCGATGGTGACTTTATTAGCTGTTATTGTTAGGCGTGTTACTTTATAATGCACCTTTTATATTCTTTGCATTGCCCACTCCTTCCCTCTCTGAGCTGAAGGGCGGAGCAGGGGAGCACCTGTATTGTCCACTCCCCTTTGTACACTAGAATACACCACTTATACCCCCCTTCCCCACAGCACTCATTATAACTGCCCCAAGCCTCTTCTAAGACCGCTTTCAATGCTATTCTGTGGCTCGTCCATTGAGGAAGGTAGAAAGGTGAAGGGCAGCCTGGTCTGCCTGGCCGTTCACCTTTACAACAATCCCCAGCTCCTCCAGTCCAGAATCTGAATAAACTTGAAGTCAAACTTTCAGTCTAGTAACATGCATCTTTGTGTGTCTCTCTTGCTGTCATACATGCACATACTTGTGCATGCACACACACGCGCACACACACACACACGCTTAAGGAAAGCGAATTTGGTTAGCATTTCCACTCAGAAGAAACCATCTATTTTCATCTGACAAGGGAGAAAAGAAGCACCAGAAAGCAGCACTTACCTCCGTTCATAGCCTGTGCACCACAGCTGTCCTCCACAGCCCTGTTTCCACACTTTGACCATCCGAGTGAATGCTTGGACACACGGCTGCCTGTGCCCCACTATCACCAGCTCTTGCTCCGCACAAACGTTTGGCCTGTCGAACGGAGAGAAGCAGACATATTTATATTACCATCAACACTTTGGAGTGACCTAGTACAGGGCTTTGACAGCTTGAGAATGAACAGGGTGCGGGTAAGCTATGCTTTTTCTGAGACAGAGTCTCACAAGATATTCTATACAATATTTATCTACTCATTTAATTTACACGGGAGGAAATGGAAGAGACATAGCCTCTCAGCTAAGCAGGCCCAAAGCCCTTTGGGGCCTTGTACATCACCCAACACCTTAAACTTCTTCTGGGAGCCCCCAGGGAGACAGTTCAGATCACGGAGCACTGGTTTAATATGCTTATGGTGAGACAGTCTATTTACCGAGCAGCCCACCACTGTTGGCACTAGCTTCAGTACAAATAATATAATAAAATAACACCAGCACCTCCACTTCAAGAGTGTCTCACTGGAGGACCAAAGGCCTTCAAGGATCAGTTATGTCTCACCACACCCCATCAGGTAATTATCAGCCTCCAACATGGTAAAGGTGGACGGACTGGGGTGGGGTATGAAATGAGGAGTTCAGTGCTTCCGGGAGCTGCTTGAGATAAGTGCCACCGGAGCCTGCATCCCTGAGCCTCTCCCCATGCCCCAACCCCCTACCCCAGCCCAGAGCCCCCTCCTGCACCCCAACCTCTCATCCCCAGCCCCACCCCAGAGCCCACTCCCCCAGCTGGAACCTACACTCCTTCCCCACCCCAACCCCCTACCCCAGCCCTGATCCCCCTCCCGCCCTCTGAACCCCTCAATCCCAGAGCACCCTCCTACACCCCAAACTCCTCATCCCCAACCCCACCCCAGAGCCCATACCCCCAGCTGGAGCCCTCACCCCGCCACACACCCCACTACCCTGCCCCAGCCCGGAGCCCCCTCCCGGACCCTGAACTCCTCATTTCATACCCCACCCCAGAGCTCACACCCCCAACTACAGCCCTCACCCCTCTCCCCAATTTGGTGAGCGTTCATGGGTCGCCATACAATTTCTATTCCCAGATGTCGCCCTCGGGCCAAAAAGTTTACCCACCCCTGTTTTATAGCATTTGGAACATGTAAAATTAATCAGCAGCTTCAAAAACTGATGAAACAGAGCAAACATATCAAGAACTCGTGCGTACTGCAAACTTCATTGTTTTAGTGCTTTGCAACCAAATTATTAAAAGATTAAAATATTTTGGCTTTCCAAATGCTAATAAATAATAAGCTGTGTAATCTCTTTCCAAATATCAGAGGCCCAGAGTTTACAATTTCTAATCAATTTGATTTCTATTTGCTTTTGCCTCTCCACACAAAATAAAATGTTTGTTTGTTGCTAAATTCATTTTAAATTTTCCAAAATGCCCTCCCACTGAACGGAAGTGATTGGGGTTGATTCCTGGAAAGAAACAGGCTTACGGGATTTGCCATAGTAGACCAAACCTTTGCTTCATCAAACAGAGACTTTATATGCTGCTGTTCATTGAAGCTACAATAGCATTGACTAGCAAAATGGCTAAATTGAGGTGGTTATGCAATTATTATCCAGTAGTAAAAAAGGCATTTTCCTCCAATACATAATAAAGTGGAGAACCTTTTGGAAGTCAGTCTTAGTTGCCACTGCGAACTTGATCATGGATAGTATAAGACAGGGGTCGGCAACCTGTCAGAAGTGATGTGCCAAGTCTTCATTTATCCACTCTAATTTAAGGTTTCGTGTGCCAGTCATACATTTGAACGTTTTTAGAAGGTCCCTTTCTATAAGTCTATAATATATAACTAAACTATTGTTGTATGTAAAGTAAATAAGAGTTTTTAAATGTTTAAGAAGCTTCATTTAAAATTAAATTAAAATGCAGAGCCCCCCGGACCAATGGCCAGGACCCAGGCAGCGTCAGTGCCCCTGAAAATCAGCTCGTGTGCCACCTTTGGCATGAGTGCCATAGGTTGCCTACCCCAGTATAAGAGATATTTTGAAATCACAAGTTTTGGACAGTGAAGAGCTGAGAATGTGTTTGCTGATCCATAAATAAGCTACAGCTGCATTACTGTATTACAGCCTCGACAGGGCTGCTACAGCGGGAGTTCCGCATTTCAGAAAGAGGATTTTTGTTTTGTGTTGGTGTTCTTAACATTTTCTTAGAAATGTTGATTCTGTATTTGGCATTCTTGCTTGCCAGACTGGTTAAACCTGAGTTCATGTTAGGAATGAGTTACTTCATACCCTGTTTACAAAGGCCACGTCTACACTACCCGCCGGATTGGCGGATAGTAATCGATCCCCTTGTTATCTATGCCATCATATGCCAGCAATGCCCCTCTGCTATA